TATAGCTACGAATGCATCCGTATGCCAACCGTACCCTTCTTTCGTATACCTTCTTTTTTTTCCTAGTGTTTTCTTTTATTTTTTATTTGTTTGTTTTTGGGCCAGCCCGGCTAGCCCAGGATAAGATTGTTGCACCCTTAAGCACGATTATACAATTATTATGAGAAATGCAGCAATATGGGAGCTTATTTCAGTGGTGGTTTGGGTTACTAGAAATCTCTATTTAACGAGGGAGATTCTCGAGAAATTGTAGACACAAACTATGCGATTTCCAATCTAGATCATCGTTTCAGATGGGAGCCGATCAAGACCGAAATGCTTCTTGGATGGTATGCATCTGGGTCTGATTCTTCCACATTATAACCCCTAGGTTGTTATTATATTTATTTATTTTTAACCTTTTTTTTGAATCATCGATTTGGACTTATCCATATTAGATCTAAATCGTCGATCCAGTAGTCCGACACAAATTTGTAGTGAACAACCCGCCTTTTCAATGTGAGTTTCGAAATAGTAGTTAAGCTGGAAGCTGCTTTAGCATCAAACGTTAAAATATCTCGTAATAATTATTGGAGAGATATTTCGCATGAATCAAATCTGAAAATTGTCTCGACATGGGAAATCTTATTCCCGCATGGAGATTTCCCATTGCCAAACGGAGCGAGAGAGAGAGAAAGAAAGATGGTCAAATTCTATCTAAATCTTAACGCTGTTTTGGGATATGCATTGAATATTTGTTAATATCGTTTTGACCTGGCATATTTGATTACTAATTCTTAATTATTGAAATTTTCCACAAACCTCCCTTCCATCAAGTTTGTTTGAGCGGTTTCCAAGCCCATGCAAAAATAAATTCGAATTTTGGAAAATCAGTTCAGAATGGATTATTTAATGGAGAAAATCGATATAGAGCTGAGGCTCTAAACAATCAAAATTAGAGCCCACCTAAAAAATTTCATTAGAAGTAGTTGTTTTGATGCTCAAATATCTTCAAATTCATCATCTAGATCTCAAGATCTACGAATATTAAAAAAAAATGGATTTCAAGTTTGAAAATAGTGTATCTTGTAACGTATTCTTGAACCGTCAATTTTCAAGATTTTCAAGTTTTCATATATATGCTCGATCTATATTATTTTTTAAGCTTTACATTTTATAATTAAAGATCGAAATATATTTTAAAGTATTGAAACACATCTCTCGATGCTATTTGAAGGTGCATTTTACTTTTATTGTTTAGAACCTCGGCTCTATATAAACTTTTCCCTTTAAATTAAATCAACTCTTTCTCCTTATTCGACGAGGTGATTTCTTCATATACTCGAAAAATAGCGCGGATACAATGGGATTCAAATGAGTTTTTTTTAGGAGAGCTCATAATCATTTTCCCTCGCAAAAAATTGAGACATTTCGAAATAAGGGTATTTTAGTCAAAAGGTCCTGAAAAGTCTTACTGAATTGTCAGATTTGTAAGTGTAATACCAATGTTCTTTGAAAACTTGCACTTGACATCGGCACGTGAGGTGCACTGGAAGAGAGAGAGACCGCACTACATTTAGAGAGAGAGAGAGAGTAATTAGTGATGAAAGCATTAATTAGCGTAGTAAACAAGTGCTACTATAGTGGAACCTTTTTTTTTTGAGAGAAAATATTTTTTTTTTAATAATATAATGGAACCTTAAAATTTAGAATTACGGATGAACCTAAAAAATCCATTGAAAAAGGTTGTTTTAATGTTAAAAAAACCATTTAATTGAGCATCTCGTCATAGAAATGCATGATTATCAAAGAAAAAATGATTTTCAGTCTTAGAAATAGTGCATCTTACAACACAATATCTAGACCGTCCATTTTCAAAAAAATTATATATTTATAGTTCTATTTGATTTTAACAATTTTTGAAGTTTAAAATTTTATAATTAGATATAAAATAGATTTGAGATAATCCTAATAATATTTTACATTAAAATTATATGTTATGATCAAATTTGAAAGTATACCTTAATTGGATTGTTTAAGGTTGCAACCGTATGGATACCACACCCTAATATAGTTAATATTTAGTATTTTTTAGATTGTTTATTATGATAATATTTATCTTTATTGTAATAAGGTCACAATCACTCATGTATCGCCTCATCTAGAAAATTGGTTTGGATCGATAGTCTAGATCAGCAATATGCCCAAGTGAATTGACTAATAAAAATAAAAAATAAATTAAATTAAAATTTATAAAATAATAAAATATATTTGGTGGGGTTGATCGGCGGATTCCCTTACACTATTAGCCTATTTTGTTCTCGGTATATAGAACGTGGTAGACTTGTACTATTGATTTTCAATCTGGATCAGACAATTTTGACATGGATCAGCAGTTTTAAAAATCCTACTATCAAGTATTAGTTGTCAAATTCGATAACTTGGGTTGCATTATGAAGTTCGAGAATTTATTTTTGAGCTTTAAGTCTAGTCAATAACATACTTACAACCACTCGATTTAAAATCAGATAGACTCTATGATTATGATATCCGCGTACAAAAAAAAAAAAAACCTCTCTTTATATCCCAATTTTTTATAAATTTAGCCTAAGTTGCTAGAGTACAACATTAATAATGAGAAAATACGGAGAGACTCAATAACTACAAGAGAGAAAAAAGAAAAACGCCTTTGTATTACATTTAACAGTTAGAGAGAGACACGAAGAGAGAGAGAGGCAATTACTAATGATAAAAAGAACAATTACATCTCTCTCAAAAGAGGAAACCCTTCTTTTGCGATAATAAGTTATTGCTTCTATTAGGGAGAGCAACCCTTATTTATGAATAAACATCATTATTACTGCTTCTTTTCCGTAGCTTTTGATTTGAAATGATGAATCTACGTCTCTAATCATATGGGAATGCTCCATTGAAAACTACTTCTCTCTCACTTTAGACCAAGTGAACTCCAAATAAAGCATTTGTTAGATCTTTTACCAACCCCACTTTATAGATCCACAATGATAGCCCTAATCTTAATGTCCTTTTATTCCATTAAATTCCATCTAAAATGGTTTTTTTTTGTTCGAGAATTAGGGACATTTCATTTAATCAAACAGGTATTACAGAACAAGCACTAAATAATTACGGAGAGTGAAACAAAGAAATAGAATATGAAACAGAAAAAACTAAAAGCGAAAGGTTTCTATTCTTCCCCCACAACATAGAAGATTTATGCTTCCCTTACCATGCAGCCATTTAATTTTGATCAAGAGAGCCACTGATCATTTGATCTTAGATCCGCGGTTTCAAAGTATTTTATTTTTAGTCTTTTTTTTACAAATTGTATGAATATGAAATTTGGTACGCATCATATTCTCATTGGGGCGCACCTATAAAAATATTAAAAAATAAATTTTCAATAAAAGATAATGATCAAAACACCCTTTGAAGCTTTCAGGGATATTTTCGTCATTTTATTTTATTGGAAATATTTTTTTTTTATTTTTTAGCTAGTGCGAGTTTAATAGAGGATGGAACATCTAAATTTTGGTGTCAAAATAGTTTATATAAAAAAAATTAAAAATAAAATAGTGTAGAGAAGTGACATTGTGATTGGGTCAAATTTAGCCCTCCATTCAGAATGAATGGTTGGATAAGAAAAAATATATAAGTTTTATGCTGTAAGGGAATCATAGAAAGCTTGCCCAAACTAAAAACCCTCAAACAACAACTAACTCGGCAGCATTAACACCAGCTTTTGCTAACGCATTAGCCTCCATATTGCATTCTTTAAAGACATGCACAAAACTAGCATTCAAACTTCCACAACAGTCCATGATTTCTGGCACTTGTTCATGAAACACCCAAGGATACGACCATTCCTTTATAATCCACTTAATAACATTCATTAAATCACATTCTATCACCACTGGTTTAGACAAACTTTTAACTAATTTCAACCTCTGTAACACAACTCTAAGCTCTGTTTCATTTGATGTGATCACCCTTGCTAGTCCATAAAACGTTAACACTATCCGTCCATCATGATCACGAATCAGACCTCTTATACCTGCTGGTCTAAGATTACCTGAAAAACTCCCATCAAAATTTAGCTTAATCAAACCCTCCTCGTGCACTTTCCAAATCCCAATCTTTATTTCTTTCAAAGATCTCTCTGCAATAATAATTTGTAGATTATACATTAAGTCCACACGAGAAACACCATGTCATTCTCCTTTTATAGACAACTATTCAGCGACCAAACACCTCACTTGTTCTTGTACTTCTATTACAGTTTTCAGTCTTTCATTATTTCCATACTTCCCAAACCACCATTAACTTCACTACCTTCCATAAGAATTCTACCATTCTCACCATATCTGCTTGCTAACCGGTTATTAAACATATTGCTATGTTCCATTCCCCCTGTAAATATTAATCCCAGATAGCCTTGGTATACTCATAATTAAACAATGAATGATCTATATTTTCTTCATCCTTCTTAAATAAGATACAAACATTTATTAAAATATTTTCTCGTTTCCTTAAAATATCCACTGTCAACAATTTGAATAACCACAAAAGGCTCTCATCTTTAAAGGCATTGGCTATTTCCAAATTTTGGAAGCTTCAATATCATATCATATTTGTCTATCACAAAACAACAACTTATATGCAGAACTTACTGCAAAAATCCCACTTTTTTCTCATACGATCCCATCTTTTTCCCTCAGGCCAATAAAAATACTACTGCAACAGTAATAGACACCGAGTAAACTCATCGCTCAGTCTATTATTTACCGATGGATGCATCTAAAATTGTTTCTCACAAAAATAAAAAATAACAAACCCAAAAGGCCCCATTGCACTAAACAAAACCTCATTTAAATAGGAGAAAAGCACGTGTAATATTTTCCTGCAGGAGTAAACTGCATCCTTGCTCCCTCAGAAAAAGAGTTGTTTTGGGGAATTTTTTTTTTTTAATCTTATTTTTCTGGATTTAACGGGCCATAAGTGGTTGTGACATCCTTATATAAAATATAAATGGTCTTATCATATATTTTCTCAAAAATAAAAGATGAGTATTAAACGTCAAATATGAGGTTTTTTGAAGTGAATTGGGTTTTTGAGGCCGAGCGATAACGTTGGCAAGGGGCCATAATGACGTACTGAAAAAAAAAATTCCTGATGACTACTTTTTTTGGATGATTTATACTCAGATGTAGTTCTTCTCAGGCACATATGGAGTGAATTTGAGTATAATTATTATTATTATTCTTTTTTAAGATTAGTTTCTAAATTTTAGATAAGGGTAGTAATGGGCTAGGAGCCTGAGCCAGCCCAACTTTCAAAACTAGGGCGTAAGCATCCTGGACCAGGCTAAGACATGGCCGTCTATATCGTCCCTACCTTGTCCTCATTTTTTTATATTTATATTTTATTTTTTTAATTTTATTTAGCTCGGCCCGCCCTGGCTTTCTTTGCTTGGAATCGGCTGAGCCGAGGCTAGCCGACCCTCAAGAAAACAGGGCACGCTAAGGTTAAGTTCCAAAAATTACTCTTGGATAGGTTTTTTAGTTGAGGTGTGAGTCAAAGATATGGTCCGGCGGGAACAAATAACCTTTTCGATTAATAGAATACTTGGGCTTAATGGTCTTTTAAATAAAAGAGAAGTGGATTTTATGTCCAGTTAAAATAATGGAAGTGGAGAAGTGAAATCCATTCGGTCAAAGGAACCGTACCAACATTAGTAAATTGAAATTGGTGGGATGAGAGAGAGAGAAATTGGTGGGATGAGAGAGAGAGAAAGGAGAGAGGAGAGAGAGAGAGGAGAGAGGCAATATGCCGAGCCAGAGGTTCCAACGCAGGGAGAGAGAGGAGAGCGTTTCCCCACCATTTCTTTTGAAAGCTCTCCTGCCCATAAGCCCCACACATCTTTATACCTCCTCTCTCTTTCTCTCTCTCTCTAAAATGAGGAGGGGATGTGAGGAGAGAGAAACGAGGCAAGAGAACTAAAAAGCAACTTTCTCTCACTACCAAATGGTAGGAAACCATCTCACCTCTTCATCCTTTTGCCCACTCGTTCTTACATTGCTTTGGTTTTTGTGATGTCCCTGTAAACCTTTTCTGAGGTCTAACCCCCCTCCTGCTCTCTCTCATCTGCTGCTTCTACACCTTCCGGACCAACACCATAAATTTTCCTTCTCTCTCTCCTAATCTCTTCATTCATCTGCAAATCTCCCTCTCTCTCTCTCTCTCACCCTTTTTCTCTCTCTAAAACCCTATTACCAGGCGCCCATACATCTTCCCTTTCTTCTAATTTCCTGTACACTCATCTTTATCTCTCTTTCTCTCTCTACCCTGAGCTCCTATCGGAGTGAACGCTCTCTTTCTTTCTCTAGGAAACGGTAGATCAGAATAGGGAGGAGAGCGGCCAAAAAAGCCAGCCAAAAGTGACTTTCTCTCACTTCAACCTTCACCCATTTTCTCCTTTTGCATTTCCTCCGCATACACATTGGTTTCTGTGATGAATCGCTCCCCTTTAAACCGCAGGAGCCTTTCCTTCTCCTTTTCTCACCCTTTTCAACAATGGAAAGTTTAGGATCTTCTCTGGGCCTCACTGGAGCTAGGGTTTCTTGCTTTGTTTGGGGTTTTTATTCATTGAAGATAAGATTTATAGAAGTCTAGAAGTTGGTTTTTAATGGAAATTTAGGGATTTGGAGCCCGGGATCTTCTTTTGTTATCGGTAAAAATACAAGTTCTCATCTTTCAGTCAAGGATCTAGTCTCAAGTTTCGGTGGTATCAGGTTTTTGAAGTCTAGCACCGTTAAATATTAGGTATTCTTTTGGTGATTGTGGAGTTGGTAGAAGCTGGATCTCGAATATTAAGGTTTTGGGTTCTTGAAAATTACGTTTTCCTTTGTTGGTTTATTGGACCAGAGGAGATCTGTTGAATCATGGAGGCCATGGACGTAGATCACAGAAGCAAACATGATGAAAAGGTTGGGTTTTTAATTTATCGTTTTGCATCAATTATGTAATGGGTCTCTCTCTCTCTCTCGATTTTATACCTTTGTTTCTGATAATCTTTTTGCTCTTTATCATTATCAAGTTGTTTGATAAATCTCTCTTTCTCTTTCTGTTTTGATTGCTCTATTGCATTATCAAATTATTTTCTGTAATGGGCCTCTCTTTTTTGCTCGCTTTCTCTCTGTTTTAGACTTGTATGCACCATTAAGTTGTACTGTGTGATGGCCTCCCCTTTCTTTCCTTGATATAGGTTTTTTCTTTTGCTGCTAGATTGATGGGTCAGTTGGTCTCATGTTTTCAATGCTTGGTGCTCTTCATATTTATCTTTGCTTGGTTTCTGATCCATCAATGGTGATATGGTTTAGGTAAAAGAAGCAGGTGTGGGTGGTGGTGATAATAGAGACACAGGGCAGATAATAGTCACTTCTTGTGCATGGAATGGACAACCCAAGAAGGTTAGCTCCCTGTATATTTTTTTTGTGTTTCATATTTTTTGGTTATAAATGGATAAAAAACTCACTGAAAATTTTAGAAAGTCCATAGGTTTATGGAACAATACTACAAAATAAAGGTTTAATGAATAATTGTGCATGATATGATTTTGTTTAAAACAAGGAAGCAAGCTTTGCATAACTATGCAAGTATTAGAATATCATTTATGTTGTTGTTTGGTTAAATTGCAGACTGTAAGCTTTGTTGCAGAGCGACCAGTCGGAACTGGATCCTTTGGTGTTGTGTTCCAGGTGGAATATTTGAGCTCAATCCTTTTTTTGTTCCAGAACTGAACATTTCCAAAGCTTTTTGTAATTGTTCATGCCCTCCCTAATTATACGTGTAATTTTATTATAAGTCCAACTTGGGACCTTATCTTTTATGCATAAATTGATTTTAGCAATTTTCTTTTTTGATGGTATTTTTGAATTGATTTTCAGGCTAAGTGTTTGGAAACTAATGAGACAGTAGCCATTAAGAAGGTGTTACAAGATAGGAGGTATAAGAATAGGGAGCTTCAAATAATGCGCATGCTTGACCACCCGAATGTTGTTTCATTGAAGCATTGCTTCTTCTCTACAACTGAAAAAGACGAGCTTTTCCTCAATTTGGTTATGGAGTATGTTCCTGAGACTGTTTACAGGATTGAGAAGTATTATTCTAGAATGAACCAGAGGATTCCTTTGCTCTATGTGAAACTTTACACTTACCAGGTAACAATTTGAGAGAAAGATTTTATTGGGTTTCCCCTATGGGATTTTTTTGGATCACAGATTAACTTGTCCATTGATCTTTTATTTCATTGAAGTTCCTTGATTACTTGAGCTTTCTTTTGATATGGTTTTCTCCTTCTCAGATTTGTAGATCTCTTGCTTACATTCATGGGGCTATTGGTGTCTGCCATAGAGATATAAAACCACAGAATCTTCTGGTACTTGTTCTGGCCTTTGGTTCCCTATTATATAGTTTCTGATTTTCTGGAATTTGAGTGACCACAAATCTCATTTTGATATCTCAAACAGGTTAATCCTCACACCCATCAACTGAAATTATGTGACTTTGGAAGTGCAAAAGCTCTGGTTAGTGAAGTATTTATTTTCTAAAATTCAAAGTGATTATATACTTATGTATTTTATTTTTGTTTGATCCAAAGTTGTTGTTTTGAGATCAGGGTTTAAAACCTCTGACCCCGTAACTTTTAGTTAGGTTGGAAAGTTTACTTTCACTTGTGTCACTTACCATGGCCTGGCTTGAACATCTATTTGAAGATCTGTTTGTCTGTTTTGGCAGGTCAAGGGAGAACCAAATATATCCTATATTTGTTCTAGGTATTATCGAGCTCCTGAGCTCATCTTTGGCGCTACTGACTACACATTCTCAATTGATATGTGGTCTGCTGGCTGTGTTCTAGCTGAATTGCTTCTTGGTCAAGTATGACTCTCCTTTCACCCTTACCCAATCCCTCTCTCTCTCTC